TTCCACTTCCAGGGGCACAGCAACTGAAACCAAACTCATTATCTTCTTCTTCTTCTTCAGTCACACCAATGAACACCCAAAGGCAACAAACGCTGCAAAAATACTGTTCAACATATATTATCCTGTCATCAAAAGGAAACGCAGAGTAACCACAATATTTCAGTGTAAATTCATTACACCATATTGTTAGAAGCTCAACTCTGAAGGGTGAATTCAAAAGTATGGAGGATAATGCTATGATGTGGTGCATCTAACTCAACAAAACTCTCTACATTAGCCATAGACTAATTCCATACTTACATGTAACATTAATATAAACTTCAGCCAAAACTTCTGGTCCTTGATTATTTTTGGCAAAGCATTCATAAGTGCCAGAGTCAAACCTCTCCACAGAACTGAAAGTGATATTTTCATTAGTTGTAATGACAGTTGCGTCAGGTTTATTATACTTCGTCTGCAAACAGATCATGATATTATCAGTTTTGATGTATATTTTCTGAAATAACACATTAATAGTTTTTTTCTAGAAAGAAATAAAGAGAATGTCAATTGAAAGGGGTTTAGCTAATTTCAATATTTAAAGAAATCTGATCTGGAAAAGACAGTACAAAAGCAGAAGTGAAAGGGCTAAGTTTACTTTGTGTGTAAAACCTCACCACAAAATACAATTGAAATCCAATTTATTTTTTCAAAGATGAAACACAGGGACAGACATTTATGACCTCATTCATCCACTTTACAGAATTTGTTCATAAATAGTAGAGGCAAGCCATTAAGAGGCAGTTTATTTAACATATATTCTGAAAAAAACTTTCTTTTCAGGAAAAGCATTAGAGTCATTCACTAAGTTGCCACTTCATAATTCAGAACATAAGTGGTGTATATGCTTTTGTTAGGAGTAAAAAAGAAGTTCCGACTGCTTTTAGATTAAAGTTGACAGAAACAAAGACATCCTAGAAACTCTTTTATAAATTATGGAATTCAAAACATTCTACAGCCATCTACCAGACAAAATGACAATTAAATGAGCAAATATACAGAGAAATTTAACACAGTCTGTAATGTGACGGACAGAAAACACGTTTAAGGAGATTCTGAACCAGAGCAAAAGAGGCATTTCTCACAGTCACAAAAATTTGATTTTGTAAGAAGGAAAAGGAAGAAAATCTGCTCTACATCAAGCAAAGTCTCAATGAAACTGGAGGTCTACGGCAAAGAAGTCAGTGTCTGGTGTTTAAAAAAAACAGACTGTCACTCTAGTATAAAACATTTTACAACAAACAAGGTTTCATTATGATATAAGGTTTACTAACCAACTTCTTCCATTTGATTTCTGGGCGGGGATATCCAGTAACACTGCACTTCAGTGTGACTGCAGAACCCTTATCTATCGTAAGTGTTCTGCTTGGTTGAATGTTGTTTATTGCTGCTGGAGCTGTAAACAGCATAATTAGTCTGCACTAAGACAAGTAAGTATTTTAATACATTTAATACACTAACTGAACATTTTCATTCAGGTGTCGGAACATTTACAGAATAAAGACCAAAACAGAATCAGACCTCACAAAACTGTAATGTTATATATTTCAATAAATTTGCCCTGAATGGCTTTGATGTTCATTTATTGCACATATATAATCACTGTAGTGACAGCTTATTGAGGGTAAATATACTACACTATAATATACACTATACTACACCACACTACACTATAACATACTAAATTACATGCAGCTACAACTGCAGAGGTTGCAGACCTAAGTAACAGTGTATACATTATTTCATACATTTATAAATTATTTTGCATTATATTTTGTTAAATTTGCACCATACTGAAAAATATTTAAAACAAACAATTATAGAATAATGTAGTTCATATTAATTGTATTGTGTGAAGCTCAAATCAAACCACCAGGTTTCTCATTGTGCAAAAAATTGTTACGTACTCATACAAAGTTAAAATATAGATCATCTTATAATCTATAACTTTTACATGAACATTTTTTTATTATGGTGTATACTTAATAAAATACAAGGAACATAATGTATAACCATGCATCTGTAGTGTATATTAACTTTGTAGCACACTTCTGTAGAGGTTAGATCCAGAGTAAGTAAACAAAAATCAATGATTAAAGCAAAATTTTAAAAAAACTCATTTGGAAAACATTCATTCCAAACTGGCGTGCACCATTTCAGAATTTGCATAAACGTGCTCAATGTAACAGCATGTAATTTTCAATTTATTAAATCAGGTACAAAATCATTTACCTGTGGCTGTGAGCAAGACTAAACCACCAATACAACAATAGTAATTTATACAAAAGACACATTCCAATTGTATTATATGCTCACTTAAAAGCTAGTATGTTTTTGTTTTCGCTTGTAGTCATAGGAAATATCCCGATGGGAGTAAAACATGGGGAAAACCTTGATGTAGTGTGGATAATATAAAATCTTCTCAGTAATGACTCTACATGCCAACTACTATATTTTACGAGTGATAGTACCATAAGGTAAATAGTAATGAAAATGGAATAAATTGACGCCTGGTATTTTTCACTGTTGTTCAAAGTTGAAAGAAATAGAAAATGGATGGAGACAAAGGTATGAAAGGATTAATGGAGAGGATTAAAGTAAATTTTATACTGCTACAGATACAAAGCCTTCATTTTCTTACCAAAAACATTCACTGTATGCATCACTTCCACTTTTGGAGTAGTGCTGAAAGTGCAATAATACTGTCCAGAGTCCCTGGTATTGACATTCGTGACAATAAGAGAATTGTTGTGTCTGTGATATGTAATCCGAGGGTCCTTGGCCCCCTGATGGATTTTGTCTACATATAGAAGTGTACTCTCTTTCCTCCACATGACCGTAAACACATTCAGATCAGCTGTAA